CTTGAAAACTACATACTATGACTACAGTATTAGGGGTCTAGCAACACAGCAGAATGTCGCTTGGAATTTTGCCCTGAACAAACAAGCTTGATTCAGGGGTCCTAAATCAATTCAGATTTTGCAGGATTACAATGTCAGTCAATCTATGTCATAATCATGTAGCAATGCAGTGCTCTACTCAGTGCCTGTAAAAGACCGTAACGGGTAGCTAACCCAAATTGATAAATAGATATAAACTAACGTCAAAAGTCAATGATTTATTGACTGTTGACGTTAGTTGGCGAGGCATCATCACCATGCATCATGCATAATGATCACGCTAACGTTCAAGGCAGAGGAAAATTATTATCTGATTCAGCACAAGGTGGTGGATCAACCAATGACTTTCAGGTCTTGCTGGTTGGGCCATGCATGTGATTTAGCAATGCATGTACCGTAGTTCTCACCTAAACCCCGCAGCAATTTTTATTTCGATTTCAAAATGGGTCCGTGCAGGGTGTCCGCGCACGCATCCTGCTACCAACTCATGTTACGCTAACACATAGTGGTGCCGCACAGCTGCGCCAACTGATGAGTCATCGGCTGAGTCATCAGCTGAGCTGGCGCCCTTCTGATCATGCTGCTGGTGTGCCGTCACGAGCGTGACCACCATCATGAAGAGGCGCGTCGTCTGGAATGCATATCCGGCGATTTCTGCAATGTCAAAGACCGTCATGCGTGATCCTGGCAGCTTAATCTGGTCCAAGGTGGTCAGCAGAGCCGCAAGCCCAATGTTGAAGCTGAGAAACGCCCCCAGCGCGGTGAGCTTGTAAGTCCGCGCGCTGCACAGCCTCCGGTGATCTGGCCGCGGCAGCCCTCCCTCCACCTGCGAAGCATATGAAACCCTAAACCCCACTCTCTAAATGCGTGCATGCATGTGAAACCATAAACCCTAAAAGCGTGCTCGCTTGTATGTCTGGGCCAGGTCTTCCGGTCGCGGCAGCCTCCCTCCACCTGTGATGCATTTGAAACCCTAAACCCTGAATTCGCGCATGCATATGAAATCCTAAAGCCTAAAAGCGTGCGCGCTTGTATAAATCTGGGCCAGGCCTTCTATGTCTGGTATGCCAGCCTGAATCAAAGCCCAAACTGGCCTGGGCAGGGGATTCCGACTACTCAGCTTTTCAGGACATGCAGATGTTAAAGCATGGGTGGCTGTGGTCCAGACAAGTCAAAAAAATTGTTTTTGTGCATGCATGCGGTGCATGAGGCGCATGTGGGATGCGCACATGGTAACATGGCAGCTTCCCGGAAGCTGCACAGCCAGTCGGCCGCGCCTCGGAGTTGGTGTGGTTGACCCCGCGCGTACACCACCGGTAAATGTCCAGCGTGGCAAGCGCGAAAACTGGGATTACAATCCTGTTCAAACCAGAGAAAGACTCTGTAAACTTCCATGTCAAGACATGCAGTCCTGGAGCATCCAAGAACATGCAGGATTCATAGGCAAACCTTGTAACACTGAACAACTTCGGCCCGAATATAAACAGTTTATATATTTACCTAAACCCTAAACCTTAATATAGACATAGTTCGTCTTGGTGCCTCCTTCTGTGAAAAGATAGTCTGCTCTTGAATTTAACCATGCGGCATGCTGTACCATTATGCTGATGCCGAAAGAGCAAGGCGGCAAATGCTAGAGCGCTGCACGGATAGCATGCCTCTAAAACTAATGGTGTCAACCATCGTGCAGTTACCCAAAAACCCTATATTTCCAATCCGGGTATATATACATGTGTAAAAAAAATTAAGCAAAATGCAGCAGCAGGCATACAGCCGATGGGGTCCGCAACAAGTATATATTTGTTATCATGATAACTCTAAACAGATATAATGTTACAACCAAAAAAATGTGTGTGACTGAATGAAATTCCCATTTCTTCTCTGGGTTGGCGTACCTCTGCAGGGAGTCTGTGAAGGTGTAGAGAGCCGCACTGTACCACATGCCCAGCCACCGGCGCTGTGGTAGGTACACGCAGCACAGCGCAATGATGTACGCTGAACAGATGGAAGACAAGGTTTTGTTAGTGAGAGCGTAAGTGAGCGGCCAAGAAGGCTTGCGCGCATCACGGAAAAAAGCCTTGCCAAAACTTTTCCTAACGTGTGTGGCGTTCCATTTGGAAGCATTGCCAAAACCACCAAATTGGAGTTTTTTGCATGTGCCCACCATGCATTTGTACCAGATCGGCCCCTTTAGGGTTAAATTATAATCTTAACCCTAAACACTAAAATATAGACCCTACAATTGAAAAAGCTTTCCCCATTGTGGCCACAGGCTTGTGCATATGTGTAATCCAGCACTGGAAATTTAACAATTGTAGCCAACTACTGTGGCCTTCTTATCGGGCCTATTCGAGTCAGTCATTGCCCACCGGATATAGATGGCCCATAGCCGCAAACTGGTGGAAACATGAACAGCAAGCAAGGGTGAAAAAGTCATGGCTGCTTCAGTACTGTATCTTGGGGCGTCAGCACACCTGTATATGGAAAGGTGATGGAAATTTCTCTCTCTTTAAAGGCAGGTGGACAAAAGCAACAAGTTATGACATAAACATGCAACAAGATTTTGGGTGTGAATATGTTGATGTCCTCGCTGCAACACAATTATGCCTGCCATGGGGTCTGCATGATTTGTGCTAATCAGGTTGCCAGGCAACAAGATGGCATCTGAAGTTGTTTTTTGAATCACAAAATGTTGTAGTGAGGTCACCTGTGGTCATGCACATGAAGGCAGTGCCGATCCAGCTGGCGATGCTGAAGAACTGGCTGACAGCCTCATCTGGGAAGAATGCGATGTAAGTGTGGCGCAGCCAGAAGCGCCAGAGGCCCCACTGAGTCAGCGAACACATCAGCAGCATGTGCACCATCAGATGGGCCCCCCGCCACTTGCCAGCGCTCTGCACGCGCATGCACATCACCTGCGTGCATGCATGGAGGCACATCATATGCTTTGGCGTCCTATATATTCCAGAACTCTAAAACCCCTAACCCTAATAAATAAAATGAAGTATAAAATATAGAACCCTAAAAAAATAAAACTATCATGTTCTCTGTGTGCACCAGTAGCCGCCTGCGCACGCGCATGTGCATCATGTGCATGCATGCAGACATGCTGCCTGATTTGGCATTCCCTGGTCTCAACATTGCTATGTACGTCATCGGCTAAACGCACTGTGCGAGCGCGTGATCACCCCCTGTATGCATGCAATAACGCTGCCTGATTTAGCTCAAGATCGGTCGCAGACCAGAACATTCACTGTCGGAAAACACATGACCTCCACTTTTGGATGTGCCGACACACACAGGCATGCAACACGCCACCTGGCACAAAATTACAGCCCTGGGAAATTGCATAACAGTCCGTTATAGTGTGACACATGGCATATGCCTGAGCCATGGCCATGAAGAGACAGAGGCTGGGAAGGGCCGAAAACTCACAGCAAAATACACGACATATGCTGCGAGCGCTGCCAGGACGAGTTGCGCTGATCCTCCGGCCTCGTTTCCATGCATGTCTGCAATTCCCCGTGCTGCCATGGCTGCACAAACGAGACTGAACCTCTTAGGGTTAACCACACTTTGTATCTCAAGTTTTTACCTGTCGGCAATCTTGTCTCCGCAGGTCATACTCGACATGCTTCTTGCAGGTGTAACACCCCGGGTTAAGTCGAAGGCATTCTGACGATTTTGAAGCAGCAGCGATGAGCAGAATAAAGAACAGATGTGCATCTTTTTCATGTAGGCATTCTTCCCTGAAGTGTGACTCACCTAGAGCCCAGCCAGTCCCTGTGAGCACATCCAGCAGGCTAGCCACCAGCTGAAAATACTGAACCACAGCCCACGAGCTCCGGCTGCGCGAAAATAGGTACCTGCACCAATTAAATATACCTCACTAACCATCTTTTTACACGCATTTTGGGTGCCGTGTAAGAACATCTATTTTTGTGCATGTGGCGGGTTATGCTAAATAGGGGTCATTAACATATAATAATAACTATACTATGTGCAGTGGGCTGAGGGAGAATACAGAGTGCATGACATGCAAGAGGGTGAGCACCAAACCCTAAAAACCTGAACCCCTTAACCCTAAACCTACCTGCGGGGCCGCAGCACGATGTCAAGGTAGCCGACGATGCCAGTCTTGCACCAGCGCTTCTGCTGGTCTAAGTACGATGCCAGTGTGTCCGGCACGATGGTGCCTGCATGTATAGGATTCAGGGTTTTACCCCATGAATAAGTTAACCCTAAAAACATATAAATCGCAAATCCTATAGCACACACTCACACTGCACAGGTCACGAATTGCAGGGAAAAACTCACATCACCAGCGAATTTTGTAGGACCAGATGGATGGCCACAGAAGTGGGCAACCAGACTACTGGAGCACAAAAATGATCATGTGCTGACAGCACGGATTGTTGTGCCGTGACAAGGATCATCGCCGCTGCAAAAAAATTCTCTACGATGCCGATCCATGTTTATAGACGTGAGAACTCGTTCAACGTCAGCTCCCGCCTGTGAACAAACTCGTGAACAAGCACAGCAACGGCCACGCCTATCAAGGCCACGCCTATAAAGGCATGCCTATAAAGGCCACGCCTATTAAAGGCCATGCCTGAAAAGGCCATGCCTATAAAGGCCATGCCTATGTGCAGGACAGGATGCGAGCAGGGCTGACGCACCAGCAAAGGCTTGCTTGCAGAAGCTGGGTTCATGGCCGCCGCGCAGCGCGCACATCGTGAGCGAGAGGTCCTCCCCTAGGTCAAGCAGAAGATTCCCTGGTATGTCATCAGCGTCCGGTACCCAGCTGAACTCCTCCCTCACCGCCTGCGCCAAATTAAGTCTATCATTTCTTTTCTTTCATTAGGGTTTTAGGGCTTACCCTACTAGCTGCTTAAACAAGTTTATCTTTCAATGTCCAAGGAGAGCAGGGTTTCGAATCCACAATTCTGCTCAAAAAGAAATTTTTAGCAGCTCAGCGGTTGAGCGGACGGCTGTCAACCGTTAGGTACTCGGGTTCAAATCCCTCCCTATAGAGCAACTTCGATGGCAGCGCATAAATGTAGTGCCAAACGTAGACACTGAGTTTCATCAGTTACTGCACCCTGAGGTTGTTGCATGGTTGCTCACCTTGAACGCCGAATGCCTGAGCGCCACAAATGGCCCCCACAATAGGGTAGAGACCCCTGATAGCACATCCACTGCTCGGCAGGAGTTGCCATTGTGGTAGTACTGGAACACCTGCATCCATTGGTGGAGTCTTGTCATATTTGTTTTTAGTGTTGATAATAAACTTTAAACCCTAAAATATAAAATAAAAAAAATATAAAATATACATAAAGGTTCGGAAGCTAGCAATGCTGGTGCCTCTCATCATGGGAAGGAACTACACGCGCATACATGACCAGGAGACGAGCATGGGCTGCAAAAAGGTGCAAATCCATTCCAGGTATTCTGACATGCCCGCTCATCTCTGACTGGTCTGTCAGATATCTTCCTTTGTTTTGAAAGTCTTCTTAAGGCTCTTTTAATGAATATAAGATTAGATTTGAAAGGTGAAAGCTCACCATATGCAAACAGCATGGAGAGCTTTGGGTTTTAAGGGGGGATAAAGAGCTGTGCCTCAGGGTTTAGGGCTGCACCTAGAATTTAGTAAAAGTTTGGTACCTGGCGTGCAACCACCCAGTTGGTGTAGATGTCATGGTTGCAGGGGCTGATGACTCCCGCCATGCCTCCGCAGTTCGGTTTTGCTGCCAGGCAGTCCAACAGGCGCCTGAACAGGCAAGACAATTACTATCATTATTGCATTTTAGAGACCTTTCGGAGCCACCTGAGGCTCATTGGTCTTTTGGCAGCCTTCTGCTGACCTACATCATCTCATCATTTTCGACAATGTGAGGATTTACATGCGACTTGGTTAGCCTCATGGTTAACTACTTGGTGTATGGCTAGCTGCTCTCAAGGAGCTGTACTTTCGTGGCAATTGCTCTCGCTCTTGATGTGGCGAGACCCCTCAGCATAGCAGATGTCCGACAAGGTCGCCGTGCCACGGTGGTTGGTTCAGTAAGAGGTGCCTCTGCTTGTTCTGCATGGCGTCTCGCAGTTAATATAAAACTGTACATTTAGATGCATGTCCCATGTCCATGTGTGGGAGACAACCCATTGCGCCCACCGGGCACACAGCACAGTGCCTGTGCTGACATGGCATTAAATTTGCCAATTAAATTAACAATAATAATAATGATAATAAATTATATTTACCAAGACTACCGATTGAGGCACAATCCTGCAGAGTACACAAATCTCAACAACTTCCTTTTGAAAAACTGTGCCAGGCCTCATGGTGATGCATTGGCTTCCAGAACGCCCTGGTAACTTCCGATGCCAAAAATAAACCGGAAGTAATTTTCCCCCTGCACGGTGAAATTGTGGGCTGGTTTTCTGATGTGTCTGGGACTTGGACAGGGGTGCAGCTGCTTGCTACCTGGCATTGTCCACAGTTGCCGCCACATCAGCATCCAGGCAGAGATAGGCCCAAGGCGGCAGCGCATAATCACAGACGATGTCATGGAACAGCAGCTGGCTGTAGCGCTTGCCGGGCCGCAGTTTGTCACCTGGTCAGCAGCAGAAACACAGGTGTGTCACCCTTGAGACAAAATGGAAATAGGGTTAGTCAGTTTTCAGGGTTACCCAATATTGGGTTGAAAAACTATGTTTCCCCTTGAGAAGCCCATAAAACCCCGACATGCCCCTTCGCCCCGTGAAGTGCACTGTAGCCATACTTACCCTAAACCCTAAACCCTAAAACAATAAACCTTAAATTCTCAAAAAAAATATAACTGGCACGCGACCATCTAATGACCTGCTTAGGCATGAATAGCTGGCGGCCGATCACACCAGAGCCCCTCTGCTGTGCAAATTCTACGTCCTTCAACTGCACAATAATCAGCAGCTTAATGTTCCATTCCCTGTTTGGCACAATGCGCGCAGCCCTCACCCTTGGCATAGAGAGCTGCGGGGATTTGGCCGAAGCAAAACCGCCACACGCGGCAGCCGCGCTCAACTGCAACAGGTGATGACTCGTCCAAGCCCTGAACACATCATCAGCTTCTCAGCAGAACTGTGTTACTTGCACTATGATCTTGTGAGTGTTTCCAAGTCTCTCTGTGAATGTATGGATGTCATGCTGGGTGCTGACTCTGACGATCAGAGTCAGATATCTGATCAGCCCTAGGTGGCTGCAGAAAGTATAATCCACTGACTGACTGACTAGGCACACCACAGGGCCTCAGAAAGTCGCTGTGTCCCGCACATCTGCAGCAGCATTTGTCCACAAGCACAGGGCTCATTGCTGCTACAGCCTTAACAGAGCAGGCAAGCTTCCACTGCAGCAGTTATTCTTGAGGTCAAAGCTACAGACAGCCGAAGAGTGTAGGTCTGAGCTGGAGAGGGGAAAACCAGCAGCCGCCACAGCGCACGCAGCGTGACAGAGCAGGAAATCTTCCACTGCGGCGGTTGATCTTCAGGTCAAAGCCACAGACAGCTGAAGAGTGTAGGTCTGAGCTGGAGAGGGGGATACCAGCAGTCGCCACAGCGCACGAAGCGTGGGTGTTGGTGGCGCTCCGTCCCGCTGGCCGTCCAGGACTATGACCACCGTGAAATCATAGCCGAGCGCTTTCCCGCGCGCGGCCGCGAGTCCCCGGAAAAGTGCTATGATATTCCCATGAGTTCGTCCTCGCTTTCCCTGGACATGCATGTACATTCTCACTACACGCTGATGAGGTAGGCTGTGGCAGATGCAAGTGATAATCTGTATCATCACCCTCCATGCTGACACAAGCAAATGATGATGTAAATAGATTAAATCGAGGCCGAGAGATCCTGTACAGGCTATATGCAGATTGCAGGCACAGCAAAGCTCTTGTCTGTGATTAGACCACTCTCACTACACCTGCTCTGTTACACAGGCCATCACTGAAATGCTCGACCGGTATCCAAGGCTGGATCAATGGCTTCCTGAAAGGAACTTGTAGTCATGGTCTTGGAGTCACAGATGGGTAGCTAAGCGCTTGTCCTACTAACAGGGGCTCTTGTGAACCGGTCACTGTACTCATAGCGTGGTGCCACTCCGAAGGGGTGGAATACTAGTGTAGGTCCGCAACGCTGTACGCCCTACTAGTCTGCCAGTCCACGCATAATGGACTACTCAAGTGTTGCAAGAGGGAAGGCTGGTGCTATCATGAATCACACACATGTGATACTACAGAAAACATGCCTGGCGCCCTAATAGACAGCTTCTTAGTCATAGTAGAGGTCACTGCATTGGCCTTGGAGTATGGTTCACGTGTGTGCGGAGCTGACGACGCCAGTTCGCATGCTAGTAGTTGTGAAGCAGTGGGATTCGTCACCTTTCTTATCCCTGTCACTGCTTCACCTAGGAAGCTGCTCGGCAATCTGGCAGCGGAACAAAGTCCGTGGTCTTGCCATCACTGCAGGAGTGTGCTTGTCTAAAGATCAATTAAATTTAACGACGGTACCATATGTGTCACCTGCCCACCTGGTGAAATCCAGAGTTAAGGGCACACCTGCAGCAGGGCATGAAGCATGCGATTCTTCGCGGCGCGCAGCATGCAGTGGCTGCGATCGGCTGGCAGCTGGCCATCATTGTGACTGTGAACTGGGTAATCTGGAAAGGTATGGCGCCTCAAGATGTCCAGGCCTGTCGTTTCTTAGACAACCCCTTTCTCGAGCGGATGTCGAAACCCTCAAGCTGCTTTCGTGCAACCAATCAGGCCAGTAGATCCTCGAATCCTTGATTTTGTGAACGAGGTCGCAAACAGATTCGCAAACCCTTGTTGTGGGACCGAGATCATTGTCTCTTGTCATAGATGCTGTGTGTCAACTGATTGTTCGTATGGGATACCTTCCCATCATGACGTCACTCATCATCGCAGTGACGACAGCATCTTGCGGGTCTCAAACTTTCGAAAGACAGATCAGGTGCGGTCGGCACCCATCTGCAATTTCATCCTGACTGGTAATCTGAGTGTGCCAGAAGCAGGGGCCCCCCGGGGGTCAACGGGAATGAACAGCGGATATTTAGATCTGGTCTCGCGGCGAGACTCCCGGCCAGTAGGGGAAATTGGCCGCTGGCAATGAGAGTGCATCTCGGGAAGATGCAACATGAATATGGCGTGTACAACCCGGCCAGCTGCCACACCACCCAACATAGGGCATGTACGCATATGTAGAGCACGTGTAACGAGACAGCAGCTGCAGCAATCGTTCATGACCTGATGCATTGCATGACATGATTGAATGTTTGGCCAAGCCCACACAGCATGAACTTCACTGACACTGTCATTGCATCTATTACGTCTAGCACATTCATGACGAACCAGCAAAAACGCGGTTCCCCTTTTACCAACATATCATTGTGATCTTATCGTGTGATATTTTTGATAGTGATAGCAATACCAAGTGTTCCAGAGCACTGCTGGCAGCATCAGCTCCACACACCCTGCTTTTCCTTCACTGAGCTGAACGACTATAATGTGACTACCCAAAACAAATATGGCATGCAAACAGAGATTAGCAACATGTTAAGTTGGCCCGGAGGAGCTTTGGGGACTGAAATCAATGAAGAATAACAAATCCGTTGCATTGCTCTCGTAGTCAACGTCCACCCAATCGACCTCTGTGAGCGATGTTGGATCATCTGTGATGTTTGCCGCGACAAGTGAGCCTCCAGGATATGCATCATATGTGAAAGCTTGGAGGCTTGATGTTGAGGCTTGGCAGTCGCCGTCGCACGCAGAGAACTGCCCTGCTGTGCTCGCAAGAAGCACATAAGTTGTGCCTGCCTTGGCACACAGGGTGGGAGTCACATCGAAACTTATATAGCCATTTTCGCCCATGACCACTGCGCTGGTGAACAGGGCTGCACCAATTGGGCCCGGCCTTGTGATATTGTACTCGTAGATGTAGGTGACAAAGTACACCTGCACAGATCATGATCATGAATTAGTTGGCTCTTGT